TGAATGGTTACACATAGATGTGTCCAGAGCTGTGTGAGATCACTACCATCCTGCTTTTGTGGGGGTGGGTAGGGGTGTTAAATAATAATAATTTTTGTTTGTTTTGTTTTTCCACCATAGGTTTTTAACATTCTAAAAGCTCTTTATTCCAAAGATACTACAAGCGAGTCAGTGTATTCAGTAGGTGTATTGTATTGTAAATTGCTTCAGAGGTATTGCAAGTATTACATACAACAATAATAAAACAGTGCATTGACATAAAAAAGGAAATTTACTTTTGGTACTTAAGTACTTTTAAAAGCAAGTACTTCTGTACTTTTACTTAAGTACAAATCTGTCTTTACAACTTTTACTTGTAATGGAGTGATATTTGACCAGCAGTATCTGTACTTTCACTTAAGTAATGGAGTTGTGTACTTTGCAGTGCCTCATGTTTTTGAGTTGATGTGCAGGTTCTGTGAGAATGTCCCCTCAGGCTGTATGACTCACACAACTGCTCTGGATGATTTACTTTTAAAGTTATTTTTTAACTTTAGTTGGTCACGGTCTTCCAAACTTTTTATTATGACTGTGACATAACCTTTTATAATTTAAATAGGCCTATATAAATGTTGCTTCTGTCAACTGTACATATGCTCGCTAATGTTTTTAAGCAAAGATTCATTACAAAATACACAGCACATTAAGAGTGTTGAACACCCGTCAAACGGTTGCAACGAAAATAGTGTTATGAATATACGATCAGATAACACCAAAGAACATATCTGAGAATTTCTTAAGAATATTTCAAGAATTGCATATTTCATGAAGTTCATACGAACTTTTTGGAATTTACCTTAAGACATTTCTTAACTTCTCTCTTAAGAAGATTTGTGTGCATCCGGCCCCTGATTGAAAATCACTATGAGTGTAGTTACCTCACAAAATTATATGATGTATGATGTGTGTCTTTTGGCTTCTTCAGGAGTTCTTTTCTAATCATGACCAATAATATTCTAATAGTAGATAAATTACTTTATTATAGTCTTTACTGATAAAAAATGTGATATCTATCAGTATTGACTTGAGTGTTAACATATTCTTCTATAATCTGGAAAATCATTATAAAGTGAAAATCATGGAGAATAACATTAATGAATAATGTATTTTTGTGGTAAACAGCAAGAAACATCTTGTTTGGGTTTATAATAATATAATAGTGTACTATCCCAGTTATTAATTTTTAACTACAAACTAGCTCCCTTTCGAACGTTCACTTCATGTTGTGTATGGGTAAACTCCTGTTTACTCTGTTACTGAAGCCTGAGTTGTTTACGTTTGTGTAGCTGCACAAACCAATGGCGCTTTAGCCTGCCAGAAAAGGGCGGAGCCGACGTGTACATAAGTCGGCTCGCAGTACCATTTCATAAGAATCTTCTCCTTCAGCGACGAGGATCATCTCTTCGCTGACTCTGCAAGAAGCCGCAGAAAAAAGACGGAAATAAGCTCAACCCGCTTGCCCCCGTCGAAGAGCCCTGGCAGAGGACGAGTCTCCCCTGCAGCCATCCGGCGCTTTCTAAAAGAGCAAATTAGAGCAAATTTCCAGCGCACGTTGTTGCAAATGTCGCGCCGCAGCGAGTGTGTCACCTGCCTGGGCAGCGGCCACACAGAGGCTGTGCTCGCTGACAGCTCATGTTCTCATTGTGAGAACATGAGTTTGTCCAGTCTCCGCTCGCGTATCACCTTCTTCACTGAAGGCGGTACCTCTGGCTCTGCTCTCCCATTTTCTTTCTCTCCTAAGAGAAAGAAACAGCGGAGCAGTGGCTCTCTCTCAATGGGCGCGAGCGGTGTCACGTCAGCCCAGTGCCTGCGTGTCCCTCTTTCTCCGCTCTGACCTCATCGCGCCGGTGTGCTTCACACGAGAGGATCAACGCCCCTCCTCTGCAGTGAGTGGCTTGGTTTCCTTTGGTGCTTCCATGGAAAAGATTGCCATCGACGACTTAATGTCCTTGACGGCATCAGACGCTGAAGGATGCTGCGATTCCGGCGATGAGCCCTAAGCCCTCCCTTCATTCCAACCATCGCAGCCGAAAACGAACAGCGAGCTGATCCATGTTCTCTCCAAGGTGGTGGAGGATCTGGGTCTCGAGTGGTTGGCTCCAGATGAGCCCGCCCATGGCTTTTTAGAAGAGTGGTTCCTGCCGGGACACCGTCAGCCGCCTTCCCGACAGCAGCCCGCCCCGTTCTTGCCTGCGGTTCACGAAGAACTGACCAAGACGTGGTGCGCCCCCTATTCGGCCCGAGTTAGCTCCTCCTCTTCAGCAGCTCTCACCACTGTTGAAGGCGCTGAGGAAAAAGGCTATAGCAAACTTCCCCCTCTGGAGGAGGCGGTAGCTGCTCACTTGTGTCCGCCGTCTGCCCTGGTATTAAAGGCCTATACAGTGCATCCCTCGAAGCCCTGCAGGACCACTTCGGCTCTGGCCAACAGGGCGTATGCAGCAGCCGGTCAGGCCGGATCGGCGCTGCATACGATGGCAGTCCTACAAGTGTTTCAGGCCAAACTTCTCAGTGATATGGACGAGTCTGGCCAACATCAGGATGCTTTCAAAGAGCTGATTGCAACTGATTTGGCTCTCTGCGCTACGAAAGCCACAGCTCAGGCTATCGGCAAGACCATGGCCAGACTGGTGGTGTTGGAGCACCTTTCAGCCAAAGGTGGCTGAACCTCACTGAAATAAGGGATGCCGAGAAGATGACCTTCCTTGATTCTCCGGTCTCGCCGAATGGCCTCTTTGGCCCCACTGTGGATGGGTTTGCACAGCGCTTTTCAGAGGCTCAGAAGACGTCGCAAGCGCTCCGTTACTTCCTCCCTAAGCGCTCTGGTGCTGCGGCTGCTAGCTGCCAGAAAGCTCCATCCACTCAGCCCGCAAAGCTGGCGCCGCCTCAGCCTCAGAAGTCTGAGCCCAGGCTTCAGCAGCGCCCCCGGACGGAAAAGCGGTTTCCTTACCCGAAGCGCCAAGGCCCATGCCCTCGACTAGTGCTGGACTCTGAGCCCCAAAAGCCGTCCTGACCCGTCAGAAAGGAAGAGGAAAGGGTCAGTTCTCGCCTCGGCCGGAACTCCCTCAAAAGCAGCTCGCTTTCACCCTCCATCCCTCTGAACACCTCTGAGCGATGGAGTTTTGTTTCCCACGGGTCACGCCCTGCAGGTGCAGCATGTACCCGAATGTTTTACCGCTGTGATAGCGGACCCAAATACTCAAAAGAGCGAATTTCCTCTTCCCACATTTACACACGTGGATATCAGTTCCCCGCCCCCTTGCGGCGAACTTTCATTCGCAAAATTAGATCCACTTGCATCCAGGTTCAAGGCCTGGCCAGCCATACCGGGCGTGTCAAACTGGGTTCTAAAAACAATTCAACGAGGCTACTCGCTCCAGTTTGCTCGCAGGCCAGCTCATTTCAGAGGTATTATTCACACTTCGGTTCAGGACAACGAACACGTTCTCCGACACAAAGTGCAAACACTGCTTGCAAAAGGTGCTATAGAAATAGTACCTACAGCGAGTCAGGCTTTTACAGCTGCTACATCCTTGATCCCAAAAAAGATGGTGGGCTGAGACCAATTCAGGATCTCAAACATCTGAATCGCTCGCTTATGCGCCGGCCATTCATGATGTTAACTATCAAACAGATGCTCGCGCACATTTGCCCCGAGGACTGGTTTTTAACAGTGGACCTGAAAGATGCTTACTTTCACATACACATAGCCCCCCCATCACAGGCCGTTCTTGAGATTCGTGTTCGATGGCGTGGCCTACCAATATACAGTCCTACCATTTGGACTGTCTCTGGCCCCTCGCACTTTTACAAAGTTCATAGACGTGGCTCTTTCCCCTGAGGCAGATGGGAATCCGCATACTCAACTACCTCGACAACTGGCTGATCCTGGCCAAATCAGAACAGGAATTAGTCGCTCACTGAGCGCTGTTACTCAGCCACTTGAAGTGCCTCGGGTTGAACATCAACCTTCAAAAAAAGAGTAATTTGTCACCTAGACAGCAAGTTGTCTTTGTGGGGACAATTTTGGACTCTGGCCAGATGCAGGCTTGGGTCACGCCAGAACAGTCCTTGACTATTCAGTGACTGGCGCTGTCCCAAAAACCGGGAACGCCTCGTCCCCTCAAGGTTTTTCAGAGACTGCTTGGCCTCATGGCGGCCGCCTCCTCTGTGATTCCCTTGGGCCTGCTTCACATGCGGCCTCTCCAATTTTGGCTCACAGCCAGAGTCCCGTACCATGCTTGGCACCTGGGTTGCTTTTATATCAAGGTAGACCATCGCTGTATCAAAGCTGTGGCCCCTTGGACAACTTCACGCCTGTTTCAGCAAGGCATATGGTTGGGACCTCCAAGAGGAAGGTGGTTATGACAGACACTTCCAACTCAGGTTGGAGAGCTTTGTTGGAGGGCAATCCAGCCTCCTGCTCCTGGTCAGCCCTGGAAAGGCGCATGTATATAAACTGTCTAGAGCTCCTAGCAGTTTTTTCTGGCCCTGAAAACCTTCCTGCCGGCCTTACACAGACACCATGGCCTGGTCCGTTCGGACAACACGACAGTAGTAGCCTACATCAATGGCCAAGGCGAACTGACAGAACGAACTTTCTCTAAAAGCGGTTCACTTGCCGGGCAGTCTGAACCATGGTGCAGACATGCTGTCCAGAGGCAATGTGGCTCCAGGAGAATGGACCCTACATCCTCAAATGGTTCAAGAAATCTGGTCTGTCTTTGGGAAGGCAGAGGTAGACCTTTTCGCCTCAAAAGACAGCTCTCACTGCCCAACTTATTTCTCGATACAGCGAGATGCTCTGGTCCACGATTGGCCCAGTGCTCACCTGTACGCTTCCCCCCCGATAGCCCTGCATCCACAGGTCATCAAACGGGTCAGGGAGACGAAATGCTCAGTTCTCTTGGTGGACCCACTCTGGAGGAACCAGGTTTGGTTCCCCGAGTTAGTGCAGCTCTCAGTATCAGCCCTGTGGCCGATACCACTGAGACGAGATCTTCTCTCGCAGGCAAAAAGCATGATTTGGCATCCCCAGTCAGAGCTGAGGAGCCTTCATGTACGGAGCCTCGACGGGAGCTTACGCAGCTCCCAGCGAGTGAGTGATACCATTTTAGAGGCTACAGCACCGTCTACAAGACGCCTTTATGCCCTGAAATGGTCAGTCTTTCGCAAAGCTTGGACCCGGTATCTTGTGACGTGTCCCACGTGCTATCCTTTCTACAAGAGTTGTTGGACAACGGGCGCGCCCCTTCCACACTCAGAGTTTACGTGGCAGCTATCACAGCGAATCATTCCCTCGAAGCTGGCCACTCGATTGGCAGAAACGATCTGATCGTAGTAAGTTCTTGAAGGGTGCCCGGAGATTAAACCCTCCTCTCATTCCCTCGAAGCTGGCCACTCGATCGGCAGAAACGATCTGATCGTAGTAAGTTCTTGAAGGGTGCCCGGAGATTAAACCCTCCTCGTCCTCAGACCGTACCGATCTGAGACTTGACAATAGTCTTTAGGGCCCTACGGGGTCCTCCCTTTGAGCCACTACATTTGGCCGAACTACGCCCTTTGTCGCTGAAAACCGCTCTGCTACTGACACTAGCATCGGTCAAGCGAGTGGGTGACTTACAAGCACTGTCAACCAGTGCTTCCTGTCTGGAGTTTGGGCCCAGCGACTCTAAAGTCGTCCTCAAGCCTAGACATGGATATGTTCCGAAGGTGCTCTCAACAGCCCAGGTAATTACCCTTCTGGCGCTCCCCGCTGCAGATTGTAAGCAGGGTCCCAATGTTCTCTGCCCCGTCAGGGCCCTGAGAATATATCTTGAACGCTCCAGCCTGTTCAGACAGTCAGAGCAGCTTTTCGTTTGCTTTGGAGGCCACTCTAAGGGGCTGCCGGTTACAAAGCAAAGACTATCCCACTGGATAATTGATGCTATAGCCTTGGCTTATGCCTCAGAAGGTTTGCAATGCCCCATAGGTGTGAGGGCCCACTCCACTAGAGGAATGGCCTCCTCCTGGGCTTGGTCCAGCGGAATCTCTATTGGTGAGGTATGTGCGGCCGCAGGCTGGTCATCGCCGTCCACGTTTGCCAGATTCTACAGCCTAGATGTCCCTGCTCTCCAGGCATGGATTTTATGGTTTAAACTGCTTAAACTGCTTATTTCCCCTATGGTGGAAATAACTATGTCCAAAGTCCTCAGCTACGCTTGGGACTCTGTTGGCTCATGTTCTCTAAGGGCCCTTAACATAAGTGCTCCAGAACTGGGCTCGCAGAGTGGCTTAGTCTGCTTCTGCTCATAGCACGGTGATTGGATTCGTTCTCCATACACAACGTGAAGTGAACGTTCGAAAGGGAACGCTCCGGTTACTGACGTAATCTCGGTTCCCTGAGATAAGGGAACGGGCGCTGTGTCACTTGCCGTGCTATAAGCTGCACACAAATTGATGACTGTCGCTTCAGTTGAATGATTCTGATGAAATGGCGCTGCAAGCCGATTTATATACACGTTGGCTCCGCCCTTTCTGGTGGGCTAAAGCGACATTGGTTTACGCAGCTACACAAACGTGAACAAATCAGGCTTCAGTAACAGAGTAAACAGGAGTTTACCCATACACAACGCTCGTTCCCTTATCTCAGGGAACCGAGGTTACGTCAGTAACCGGAGCGTTATATAGTCATACATATTAGTTAGTATACTGACTAAGGAGTAAATTTGCTCTTCATGCTCTTCATTTGTTCTGCAATAGTTCCTATAGTTATGAATAAACTAAGAATCAATATTATAATGTGTTTGTAAGATTGGTACTGACTC